TTTTTTTTTTTAATTTCCATGTTGCAGTTATTGACCCTGATGATGGCTTGTTTGCTGCTGTTTTAACAGTTTGAGTCTAACAAAAACTAAAGGTAACCTGCCTTTTGAAGAACCTCTTATTTGTGCTGACATATGTGCTGTACAGTGAAGAACGGTTTAAAAAGATGAGCTGTGTAACTCTGCCATTTTCCTATCCAATGTCAGTATCCAAGAAAGCAACCCTCCATTAGCTTGTAAAATTTTGTTTGTCTTGGACGGATAGAATAATTTTATGTCTATTAATGTTAAATTGTACTCTGCTTTAAACCACCAATACTACCTAGCCACAGTTTTTTGTGGGAGGTCAGTAAGTTTTACCACAGAAAATTTCTTTTTGCTGTCAGGAGTTATGAAATGTTGCCGTTGTGCCAAGTTGTGAAAACAATAAGAATGTCAGTGTTTGTGAAAAGAAGATTGATACTTTAACACTGCTCGTTTTAAGGTGCTTAAATTATCCGTGGTGTGATGTTCTGAGCTAGCCAATAAGAAAACATAATAGGCATTAGCACTGTAAGAGAGGAACTGGCTTTGGACTATTGTTCTGTATAAAACAGTACTAACTTCTGTGCCTTATTTTAGTTACATTTGAGGACAAGAGGAAAGCAAACTATGAGAAAGGAAACATGGAACTGGAAAAACGACGTCAAGTCCTACTGGAGCAGCAGCAGAGAGAGGCGGAACGTAAGGCTCAGAAAGAAAGAGAAGAACAGGAACGAAGAGAGAGGGAACTGCAGGAGCAGGAGCGGAAAAAGCAGCTTGAACTGGAAAGGCATTTTGAGAAACAACGAGAGCTGGAAAGACAAAGGGAGGAAGAGAGGAGAAAAGAAATAGAAAGGCGGGAGGTTGTTTTCTTTATTTTCTTTACTTTTAATGCTTAAAGTAGTACGCACCCACACTCAATGAACACAGTTGGTTAATCTATTCCCTTGTCCATTTGGGAACTTGTAATTTTTGTGTGCCTTTAAACTTGCATTACCTCTAGACAAACAGTCTTGGTCTAGTAGTTTGAACATAGGACTGGGAGCCAGGCACTCATTGAATCATGGCTTGGGCATGCACTCCTTGTGTGACTATTGCAAGTCATTTTGGAGGGACACCATCATTTTTGTCAGAAATGTTGTGCCTACTATTGTTACATATAACCCCTAAAGTTGCTAAAACTCAGGTTCTCAAGACTCTTTTGTATTGTGAACCACATTTTCTTTTACAGTTCTCTTTTTAAACCAAAAAAACCCCAACAACTGTAACCCAAAACTAGGCTCGACTGAAGCTTGAAATTGACATTATTTTACTTTTGATCCTATAACAAATCTGGGTCTACTTGGTTTGTCCACAATCCCATTTAAAATTGCATCCACTCTGTGACCAGTCATGCTAAGGGCTTCCTGAGTCATTATCAGTTCCCAGCACTGTTCTCAGATAGAGGCAAGACTATTAGAGTGAAACCAAATTTGTATCTGAATTATACATTACATTATACCCAATTAGCTTTCTCCACAGTTGATTATTCTGGCAGTTTCCCCTCCTGTGGGAGTTGAGACATTCAGAACCTTGTAGGATAAGATCTTCCATTCTTGTGATCATATATGATATTTGAAATATATAAGATTGTGCTTTAAGAGCAGAATTCTTGTATGTTTTACTACTGTGCTACTCACAAGTAGAACAGAATGGCAGATTACTTTGCACAAGAGGGTAAGCAAACCTGAACGTGCAAGGTCTAGGTCTAATTTAAGACTTGCCAGCCTTTGTAGTGTCCCCTTTAATGATATCATTTAGGATTCAAGGTGTGGATTTTGTTCATTAAATGGCAAATTGTGTAGATATTGCTAAGTATGAAAATACATATATAGCTTTCATTTGTCTGTACATCAAACACTTACTTTTTATTAAACTGGAAATATTTAATCTTAGCTTAATTTAGCTACAGAATGTATGTGTAGATATCAACACTGTAAAACTTCTAGTTGGCTTTAGAGCTTCTAAAGGGTATTGTAAGCTTACAGTGATATAACTTGTTATCTGTAGGCAGCAAAGCAGGAACTCGAGCGCCAGCGACGGCTGGAATGGGAGAGAATTCGACGCCAAGATCTTCTTAATCAGAGAAACAGGGAACAAGAAGAAATTGTCAAGTTGACCTCTAAAAAGAAGAGCCTTAATCTTGAATTAGAAGCCCTGGTGAGGCACACATGATATTAAATGTACTTGAGTGATATACAGTATTTTAAAACACTACAAGAATCTTAAAATGCACATTAAAGTGCTGAGTATGTTTTCTTGATCAGGAAATTAACTTAGTATTGGCTCAGAAATCAGTTTTTTTTCCTAAGAATTGTTCTTAAGGTACCTTTAGGCAGAAATGATCTTTTCAGAGAAGTTTGATAGAGAAACTTTTTGTTGTTTTGTTTTTTTTACAACATGTGGTTTAATCTTTTTTGTTTTTCTGCAGAGTGGCAAACATCAGCAGATCACAGGCAGACTGCAAGATGTTCGAAGCAGAAAACAAATTCAGAAAAGTGAGCTGGAAGCTCTAGATAAAAAATGTGATTTGGGAATTGTAGAAATCAAACAGCTACAACAACAACTTCAGGTATGTGATTTCCTGTTAAACCTAAAGATCTTTCATTTCTCTTTTCACTTCTCTTTAACAGTTGTGGTGGCATCAGTAGTGTGTCCTTATAGGAAAGATTTGTGCAATAGCGTCAAGGAATTGAATGGTTATGGTGCAGAAAAGAAAACTAAGTAGAAATGGCCAGGGAATGTGGTTGCACAATGCCTATTAAAATTATTTATAGCATTAGGGAAACCAATATGTACAATTCATGATCATTGATATTAATTTTACAAGGCAAGAAGTGAGGTTTTGACCGTAATTTCAGTATCATGTGCTAATTTACCAGTGATTATATAGGAAGATATTTTGCAGGGTTCTATAAGATTCCTACCTGGTTTCTGCTTCTTCATCTACATTTGATATTTCTAAAAAGAAGTAAAACTCCCAAAAGTGTTTTCTTGCTCTCACCTTTCCAGTGAAGGTAGTAGACCTGTGCAGCGCTCTGTCTACAATATCTCAGATGTTTTCAGATCACTGAATTAAGCAACATGATGGAACATGTATGGAAGATGCAACAGCTGATGTTCATCAATTCATTCCATACAATTAATTGATGTAATTCAGAAATCAGCTCTGTTTTTCATTAATTGATACAATTTTTGGGGGGGGGGGGGTTAATTTTAAAATCCTAGGGTTTGACTTTTAATGTGAAAAATCCTAAAACTGCGTTTGCATTATTTCATCTCACTTTTTTTTTTAAAGATTTAAGCTCACCTGTTCCCAAAACACACAGTTGCAGTTAGTAATAATTGTTATTTCTTCATTGTGTATTGATCCTTCTCTTGTCTACACACGGGGTTAGCACTGGTGCAGCTACACTGATTTCTAGCAATTGACTGTTCGGGCAAATACCTCGCAAAGTGTTAAAATTGATGAATGATTTCAAGTATTAGAAATTCCATATGCTAAACTAAAGCACACGGTATAATAACCTGTTTTTGTTTTATTTATCAGAAACTGAAGCCTATTAGTTGATGGCCAGTTTCAAAGAACACTTGGATTTCTTTGGAAATTCACATTCTACCATAATACACAAATGTTACACTAATATGCTTTACATTTGTTCATTCTAACTGTTTTAAATGTGTGTGTTGAAGAATACTTAGTTTCTAATAATAACTATATAGATAGATAGATAGTGATCATAGAATAGTGAGTTTTTTCCCGTTATGGGGAAAAAATTGTACCAGTGCACTATCATACAGTTTGTTTACTTCATGTGATGTTGAAAAATTGTTTGTTTGTGGTTGGTGCCATGTAAACAGATATTAACCTTTCTTAAAAATACATTGTACCTCTTTCTTATATATCTATAGGAATATCAGAATAAACTAGTCCATTTAGTTCCTGAAAAGCAGTTATTAAATGAGAGAATAAAACACATGCAGCTGGACAACACTCCTAGTAAGTGTCTTCAAATAAACACTTTGCTCTATATACTAGCTTTTCTTTACTCACTGGGAAGGCTACTGTCTGTGTTGTTATTAACTATCCCTTTATAGTTACCATAGATTCAGCAAGTCCCAGTGAATACTCAGAACTGTTTGTTGGACCTACTTTCTACCATTTCCTAATCTAACAACTGTGGGGAGAAATATGTTTTGATAAGAAAAGAAGGCTACAGCTTTAAACATAGACAATACAGACTATAGTACAAGGAGGAATTATGGTCCTTGCTGCCCAGATTTTCCTTTTGCTTACAGTCGTGTAAAATCAGGAGTAACTCCATTTAAATCAAAGGAATTGATGGAAGTTTTACCCTACTGTTAAGTGAGCGGCAAACGTGGGCTGAAGCGTCTGCCCACAGGAGTTGCATCTAATCAGACTAATACAATATAAAGAGTAGATATCATACAAACTTTATTATATGAGTTACAGTAGTGCCTGGATGCCTCAATCAGGAATCAAGGCCCAATTGTGCTAGAAGCTGTATGAGAACGTACCACAAGAAGTGGTATAAGCAAGTGGTTTCTGAAGTGGGAGTGAATGTAAATTTTTTTAAATGGTTATTGAAGAGCATGTTAACGACAAATAGAAATCATTGTAAGAGTACTTGATCTTTCTTATGCAGATACAGGAATCAGTTCAGTGAACAAGAAGTTCCTAGAAAAGGAAGAATTATGCCAAAGACTTCGGGAGCAATTAAATGCCCTAGAAAAGGAAACTGCTTCCAAACTCTCTGAAATGGATACCTTTAACAATCAGCTCAAGGTACACGCAGTCTGCAAATATATTGTCTTTAGTAATAAGCAGTGTTTTCCTCCTCATCCAGTCACCAAACTTTTATTTGCTGTCCCCCTATGCCATGCCTTTTCTGAAAGTCTCTGCCAATTTTATAATATCAAAATCAGCATTGCCAAATATCTTCTAGCAAATGTGCAATTAGAAACTAATTCAAAACTATCATTTGTGTAATTCGATATTAACACTCCCTCCCTCTTGCTTACCACTCCTCTGCATTCATCATGTTACAATGCCTTTCAAGCGCATACTCATTGCTCACTCTTAGGGCATGTCTACACTTACCTCCTGAGTGATTGATCCAGTGGGGGTCAATTTATCGTGTCTAGTGAAGATGCGATAAATTGACCGTTGAGCGCTCTCCCATCGACTCCGGTACTCCACCGGAGCGAGAAGCATAGGTGGAGTCAATGGGGGAGTGTCAGCAGTTGACATACCGCAGTGAAGACACCGCGGTAAATAGCTCTAAGTACGTTGACTTCAGCTATGCTATTTTCGTAGCTGAAGTTGCGTAATTTAGACTGACTTAGCTCACCACCCCTCTCCTCCCCCCCCCCCCACCGTCTAGATCAGGCCTTACTCAACACAGGTCCTAAAATACATAAAGTAAATGAGAGTAGAGGGCCCGTTCCCTCTAATTTTTTCCACGCATGTGCAGAATGAATTTTGTTATGTGCACCAATATGGGGGTGATGTGTGTAACGAAGTTCATATTGGTGCACGCAACGAAATTCATGTGGTGGGGGTGGGGCCGAGGGGTTCGGAGTGTGGGCGGGGGCTCAGGGCTGGGGCAGAGGGCTGGGGTGCAGGTGGGATGAGGGCTCCAGCTGGGGGTGCATGCTCTAGAGTGGGGCTGAGGATGAGGGACTCAAGGCTGGGGCAGAAGGTTGGGATGTGTGTGTGGGAAGGTGAGGGCTCTGGCTAGAGGTGCAGGCTCTGGGTTGGGGATGAAGGGTTTGGGGTGCAGGCTGTCCCGGGGCTACGGCAAGGAGAGAGAACTCCACCCAGTTCTCTCCCCCTGCTGCAGCACCTGGGCTGGCGGAGGAGAGGCGCCTCTTCCTGTCGCGGCAGGTCCAGGGCTGGGCTGGGTTGGAGCCAAGAGAGGGGCACCTCTTTCCCGGCCACGGCAAGTCGGGGACAGGCTTGGTGGGTCCGCAGTCCGGGCCACTGGTAATGGTCCGCAGCTTTGGGCTCCCCAGGGGAGCATCTGTCACCGGCAGCCCAGAGGAGCAGCAGCAGCTGTGGGCTCCTTTCCGCTCCGCTCCTCTGCTCCTGCTGCCTGGTGATGGAGGGCAGGGGCGGAGAGAAGAGCTCTCAGCCGGCCAGCTGAGAGGAGTGAGTGGGCTGGGCGGAGGAGAAGCCCTGGGCCGGAGGGCCTAGAGGAGTGCAGGGAAAGGGCCGGAGAGGAGAGGAGCCAGTGCTGCGACTGCCTGGCCACAGTGCAAGTGAAGTGGAGTGCCGGGCCGGGGGACCCCTGCTGAGTGTGGGCCTTCCGCCATTATAAATCCAGTATTGTTGGGCCGGGATGGGTTGGGGCCCAGGGAGGTGCGCCTCTCCCTGCCAGAGCCCTGAGTGGAACTTAGCAGAGCTTAGAGGGAACTTGAGTTGAAGGTGCTGAGCACCTTGCAGGTTCTGTCTCTATGGCAGTAAGGTTGTATGGCTACCATTTTGCAGATTGTAAATGGAGTATCCTAATTGCTTAATTTTTATTGGAAAAAAATACAAAATCTACCAGCACAGCACATGGGATATTCACTTTTGGCAATACACATGGATGCTTGTATTCCTTTAACTAGGAGAGAGAATGTGCAGAGGGTAATTGGAGGAGGCTGTGTGATTTATATATTGTCAGTTTATCTGACAGATGAATGCAACTTTCTGACGAGGGTGTTGTCACTCTGCTCTGTTTGCTGGCTTATTCATAGTGGCATTGATGTGAATTTTAGAATAAATTGTATGATTTCCCTGGCTAGAGGAAGAACCAAACTGCATCTGTTGAAGAGAGCTTAAGGGAAAAAACTCTCAGAACTTTTTTTTTTTAATAAAGAAAACATCACCCACAATATTGGTGCTTGCATTTAATCACATGTGTGCTGCATGGCTTGCTGGTTAATGTAGTCTTCCCTACAATATATTTTTTAAATCATTATAAAGTTTAATTGGCTTTTTATCTGCCTTATCTTACAGTGTGAGAATATGGATGATTCTGTTCTTCAGTGCCTTTTGTCTCTGCTAAGCTGTCTCAACAACCTCTTCCTCTTACTTAAGGTTATTTTCTAATCTTTGGCTCTTTTGCTTTTAATTATTTCACAGTTTTTCTGTTTTCCCTTTCTTTTTGGGTGTATTATCTCTTTAGCAATTAGCTGAAAATCTTTATTTAAAAATAAAACTTTTCAAAAACAGAATGAATATTCTTTTCTTTTCTGCTTGCTTTTAAATCCTTCTGCTATCTAACGGCTTAAACTTACTTGCTTATAAAGCAATGCCAGAAAATACTGATGTGTATCTTGTTTGTTAATGTACTGATATATTAACAGATCCAATTAGCTTTATTACCTAGGTACTGTTTTTTCTTTTCAGGTAAGGTAATATTCACCAAAAAAGTCTTTCCTTTTTGATAGAAACATTTACAGTTTCTTCCTATGCATTTGCCTCTCTCTCACACACACAGACACTCACTCACCTATCTACACACACACGCACCCCTTCTCTCTCTCTCTCTCACACACACACACACACACACACACACACACACACACACACACACACACACACACTAC